CAGTGATAAGAAATACCATCCACATTCCCAAGGATAACCCAGATAATCCAGAACCTTTCACAAAGAAATGATTAATACAACTGATAAAATGCCAACATTGTCCAACTCTTTTTCATCATCAGAGAGAATTTTTATGACTTGTGTGCTTTTATGTATGTATGAGGGGACTTCAAAAATTTGTGGAAAATAAAAATTTTATATAATGGATTTTTTCCACAAACTTTTAAAGCCTCTGGTATATATGTATTAAAACATATCTGTACACTTGTATGTAATGTTTCCAATACCCAACAGGATATAAAAATCAGGTTTATAAGGGAGAATTATAATAAAAAGCAGTAATAAGAATAAGACATTTTAAAGAAATATTTAACTGTATCAGAATTGACTTCTGACCAAGTTCTCAGAACAAAAGCTTAGTAAGTAGTAGCAGGGAAGCCCTGGTGGTGGATGGGCTATGTGTTGGGCTGGAAACCTCAAGGTCAGCACTTTGAAGCCACCAGCTGATCCGCAGGACAAAGATGAGGCTTTCTTCTCCCATAAAGATTTATAGCCTTCGAAACCCACAGAGGCAGTTCTACCCTGTCCTATAGGGCTGCTTTGAGTCCGTCGGAATTGACTTCATGACAGTAGGTAGGGACTTCCTTTATTCATATGTTGGTTATTCATATGCAAAATAATCAACCGCAGTCCATAGAATGCAATAGAAAATATTTATGTAAGTAGATCATAAACATAAAATTGTAAAATTTCTAGAAAGAAACATAAAAGTTCACATTGCACGTACATTGCTTTAATTTTTAAAAAGATTAATGAGAAAAGCCATGATATCAACAGATATATGCATAAAATGTCTATCAGTGGAATAATGGCTAAACAAAGTTTGATTCATATACAGAAGAGCATACTACCCAACATTAAAGAATGACGATGAATCCATGAAATGCTTCACAATATGGATGAACATAGAGGACATTATGCTGAGTTAAATAAGACAGTCACATACAACTCTTCTTGATATGATTGAACTATTGAATTGTATGATATGTGGATGAAGTGTCAATAAAACTGTTAAAAAATAAGAGTTACAAATGGAAACATATGTATGAATTATAAAAATTCAAGAAATATTTTCACACTAAAAAAACATTGTTTGATGGTTACTAGTGGGGGGTGGAGGAAAGGATAAATTACTAGAGGATAGCCACATATTAACTTGGGTGAATATACAATAAGAGGACGTTCAGTTAAAAAAAAAAACCGAGGCAGGCAGAAGACACTGGGAGGAGTGCAAGAGTTAAAAGCAGCAGAGGTAAATATTGTCATGTGCATAATCCTGCAATAAAAGTGATCTATGAGTGCATGCATGGATA